CCTACCTCACAGAGAGTCTGTTGTGGGGAGGTGAAGGGAAAGGAGATTGTAAACCGCTTTGAGACTCCTTCGTGTAGTGAGGGCGGGGGTATAAATCCAATCTCTTTTTCTCTTTTATGAGGCACAGCAGTTGCTCCACATTTTGTGAAAGAAGCAAAGGCTCTAACCCTTCCTATGTACGTGAGGAAACATGAATTTGAGGACCGAAGCCAATTTAATGAAGTGCCTCCAGCACTTGTGCCATTTTCTGTTTCCTAACCTTCCAAACGGGTGGTGCAGGCAGAGGCTGCTTTATCTGGAATAGCCAGGACAACAGAGCCAGAAAGAAAATTATTTCTATTGATTGTTTTTTAGGCAATGATGCCTATTGACTATAATGACTCTCTGCTTTTCACATCGCTCCTCCAACACTCCTGCCCTTCTAGTGAGAGTTTGAAAGTTTCAAAAAGTGCCTTATTTTAAGGGTCCCAGCTCATCCCATACTATCCAGATGGCCCATTAAGATCTGCTTCTCATAAAATTTATAAATTGTTGTATGTTAAAATAAAAAAGATAGTTACAAAAAAAAAAAATCTGCTTCTCAAGCTGTTTTCACTTTTAGAGATGAGGTGGGAGGCAACTAGAGACATGACTTTTTTTTGTGTGTGGTGGCACCTTGCCTCTGGAATGCCCTCCCCCTTGAGGATCACTTTACTTTATTTCAAGCGGCAAGCCAAAACACATCCTTTTACACAGACTTTTAATTAGTTGTCTACTTATACGGATAGTTTTTATGCTGTTTATGTCCAATGGTTTATTTTAATGGCTTTTTAAATTTTGTGTCATTTTAATTGTAAGATGCCTTGAGTAGGACTCTGAAAAGTTGGCATAGAAATATTCTAAATCAATAAATAATAAACAGAGATCTAAGCAACACATTAGAAAATATTATTCCAGCATAAACTTTCATCAACCAGAGCACACTTCTTCTGATACAAGTGGGTCCTCATTAGGCAGAACTTTTATTTAAGATGTATGAGAAATATAAGCAGCGGGTTCAAAGAGCCATGAAATGGAGGAAGTACATGAAATTAAATTATGTAAAATCCAAATCTAAAAAAAATACAGAGATCATTCAATTGTACTTACTGATTTTTAAGGATGATTCTTATCTTACACAGAACCACTATGTTTATCAGCCGGTCACCTCTTTCGCAGATAATGAAATTAATTCAGGGCAATCCAGCCAAGGCACTTTTAAAATCTCATTAATTACATAGTCCCAATGAAACCAATGTGGTTGGATCCTCCCTAAATTTCCAAAAAGTAGAGTCTCAAACAGTAACATTCAGAGATTTTGCTAGAAACTTTCAACATAGCTACGTTAGCCTGGTACCATCTCGGTTATCTTTCAGATGCCAAGCAAAGCATCAGAGTCTTATCTGTTTGCCCTGATTCTGCCTAGAGAGGTTGCAGTCTTGTTGCTGTTTAATTGGCAGGGCTGAAGGCTGTCTTTTATTATCTAACTGTTCTTTGGTTTATTGATGGTGATACTTTTAACTGGGTTCTTTTTTTGTTGATCACACTACTGTTGTTGATGCTTTGATGGATTGTGTATGCTGCCCTGAAGGCCATGTTGGCATAAGAGTGGAGAACAATTTGATAGGTAGGTAGGTAGATAGACAGACAACAGGCAGACAAGGATGCCCTTGTGTAAACAGTTGTATCGGTAATGTATTGAGCAGAGATGGCCATGGCCACGTGGGTCCGGCCATGCGGTCTAAAACAGACACGGACCTTTGCACTAGCGAACAATAACCACTTTGGATCCTAGGTGCACCAATGGGTTCACCCGGATCCAAGATTAGACCAACAAGGTCTGCCGCATGTAAATAGAACCTATCACTGGGCTTGGGGTGTGTGCTGGGTGTGGTTTTGGTGTGGTGTGTTCACGCATATAAGACGGCCTGTGGCCAGCCAGTTTTTGTCTGCAGTTCCCGATGTAACGAATAAACGCTTTCTGAAATCACTACGCTGAGTCTCCGCTTCCAGTACTTTTCAGTATCCCCCATTGTATTCAAGCAAGGGGGGAATGAGAAGGGGGACACAGATGAAATTGTGGCAGCCTTGCCAGTATATGATTGAGAAAGACTGATAACATAGGAGACAGGCATGCTCATTGAGTAGACATTGTATATTGCAGAGTGGGGCAGTAAATTTCCATTCCTAAACAGCTGAAAAACCGTGTGTTCAAAGTCTGAACACCATCCTGTTTCTGCCCCAAACAAGAAATCCATGGCTTACTATCTACCGAGTATTAATTTTTAACTATGGATTTAAATCCTTGTGAAATATTTAAGCTCTAATAGGAAATTAAATCCTCCTCCCATTCCTGAAAACAATGAATGCCACATAACTGTTAATTGCATAGAAGACGTGCTGCAATTTTTTAAATGTCTGGCAACTAATCTATGAAGGGACAAGCACACTTCAGCAGTACCATAGGTTGCTGGCATGTACTGTAAAAGGTAAAGGTAAAGGTTCCCTTGCTCGAAAGCCATTCGAGTCCGACTCTAGGGTTGCAGTGATCTCCGTTTCAAAGCTGAAGAGCCAGCGCTGTCCGAAGACGTTTCCGTGGTCATGTGGCTGGCATGACTAAACACCAAGGCGCACAGAACGCTGTTACCTTCCCACTGAAGTGGTACCTATTTATCTACTTGCAATTTCTTGCTTTCGAACTGCTAGGTTGGCATGAGCTGGAACTAGAGATGGGAGCTCACTCCGTCATGCGGCAACCCAGGTCTGGAACTGCTGAACTACCGATCTTCCACAGCCTGGAGTTCAGCGCCTTAACTACTTGAGCCACCGCAGCTCCGGCATGTACTGAGTACTTACCAAATGATACCTACCTGGGTACAGTTTTGGATTGGCTATCAATACCATCCTAAGAACACTTTCTTGGGCATGAGCCTCACTAGATAGCCTTGAGTAAGATTGCTTAGGATCAGGGCTCTTTTTGTAGAAAAAGCCCAGCAGGAACTCATTAGCATAATAGGCCACACCCAACACCAGAAACTCATTAGCATAGTAGGCCACACCCCTGCCAGCACAGCTCATTAGCACATTAGGACGCACCCCCATGTTACCAGAAGTGTGGTCATTCAGCCACACCCACCTTTTGCTTGTTATTCTGTTTACCTTGTTGTCAAAACCCAGGGCTTTTTTTGTAGCAGGAACTCCTTTGCATGTTAGGCCACACACCCCTAATGTAGCCAATCCTAATGAGTTTCTGCTGTTAGGTGTGGCCTGTTATGCTAATGAGTTCCTGCTGGGCGTGGCCAACTCGGGAGCCAGCCGGAACTCCGTTCCTGTGCGTTCCTGCCCAAAAATAGCCCTGCTTAGGATGATACTGTAAGACATATTTGAGAACTGGATCTTAACAGCCTTGCTAAGTGTATGCAGAATTTTCAAGAACTTAAGATGTGCTAAGAAACCTAAGCAGACAAATTGATACTATCTAAATGCTAACAGTAAACATTCTGATTTGTACAAAAATGTGTATTTCAAAGTTACTATTTTAAAACCTCCTTTATGGGTTGTGCAACTAGATCCTATGGAGGGATAATCACACTTATTTGACAGTTATATTATTTGAATCCAGTAGCAATATAAAGACCAACAAGATTTCCAGGGTATAAGATTTTTGAGAGTCAAAACTCCCTTCTGGAGCATTGGCTCTTGAAAACTTATACCCTGGAAAAATTTTGGGTATTGGACTCGAATCTTGGTCTCTACTGCAGACCAACAGGGTTACCCACCTGAAATGAATCCTTGTATCTTTGAAATATTGAAGAGGCATATATCTATGTCAACAGATTTTAAAGGATTTAACCACTGCTAAACAATAAATGTATTAGTCAGTCATTGGTTTGGCAGTTAATATAATAAAGTAATTTTAAACCTATTTTCCTCCATGAAATCCTGGGAAGCCCCCCCTCCCCCCCAGAGCCTTGCTTATTCAACACAGAAATGCCTTCACAGATCTCTAAAGAATTTAATTTCAAGAAAGCCCCCACCCCCATTAGTGTAGATGGCACTTTTTACCGACTCATATTTCAAAGCCTGTCTATAAGCAGAAATCCTGCTTGTGGGTCAGGTTTGTAGAAATATGAGGTATTATGGACTGAAAAATACAGCACGTTAATATGGATCTAGGTTGGTCTGAAGCAGTAGAACAAATTTATAGCCCAGTGGCGCCTTTAAGACCAACAAAACTTTATTTGAGGTATCTTCCTTCCAGTGTATCTGGAAAAAAATGTGTGTGCACAGGAAAGCTCATACCTTGAATACAACTCTGTCGGTCTTAAAGGTGCCACTGGACTCTAAATTTGTTCCAGCACGTTAATATACAATGCTTGGGTAGTTTTCCCCCCACTAGCCCCGAAAGCCAATGCTCCCGTGTAGGTTAAAGGTGATGACAATTAAGGCACTTTTGACCCATTTTCCACTAGTGTGGCCGCAATTTCCTCACTTTGACCCTGGAACTGCTGCTGTTTGCTTCCCCCGCCTCTCTCTCAATGGACCACCAAAGTTTCCCGAAGCATGAAGATCTTTCCCTCCCCGTTTGTGTGTGAGCGTGTGCTGAGGTGCCCACAAAGGATTACCCATGCAGCGGCGAAAAGACTGTTTGGCGTTGTGCTGATTTTGCTTCAATGACGGGGCGAGGGGCTGAGGGGCTCCGCGTAGCTGGGCGGCAGCAGCAGCAGCAACCCCCTGGCCCCTAACGACTCTCTCCCGTTGCCCTGTCAGCGGCTCGTCCTTTCTCCCAAAGCCAGGCGCCCTTCCCACCCCCTTCCCCGTCGCCCTGAGGGCCTCCTGCCTCTTCCCCTCACGTTCGTTTCCCGCCTCCTCCAGGCCTCGCCACACAATCGTCTTCTTCCCTCCTCTTCTCCTTGAGGCGCGTCAAGGGGGAGGGAGGCAGGCAGGTGATGGGCGCGGTTAAAACCCGCCGCCAACAGGGAGGAACTTTTAACGCTCCGACAGCCGGCAGAGGAGACCGTCCCCAGCCGTCTTGCCTGAAGAGACGCGGCTTCTTGGCGAGGGGAGTCGTGGAGCCCGGCCCCGGCAGTGGGGCTACTTTTCCCGCCCTCTCGGTCCATGGTGCGCTTGTCTCGGCCCGGCGCGCAGGGGCTTTGATTTCCCTCAGACGCTGACAGGTGAGGCTCTCTCGACTCTCTGAGGACTGGCAAGAGAAAGGAAGGGCTTTCCTTCTCGGTTTCTTCCCTTGGCCTCTTCTGGCCCATCTTAGAAGAAGTGACTTTTTTAGTTTCCAAAGAGGAGAACTCTTGGGGGTGAAGTTGGTCGCTACTCTGAAGGTTCTTCTTTCACCCCGATCTCACGAAAACGCTTCATGTTTTCAATTCATGTCTGGTATTTCTGGATCATGGGAACAGGCTTGCTGAGGCATCCTGGCCCTCTTCACAGGCTCAGATGTACTCTTTCCTCCTTTGAAAACTATTATTTTATCGAACTCCGGGTTAAAACAACATTGGAGGGTTGTTGTTTTTTTTTTAAAAAACTATTTGTTGTGGTGCTTTGGGAAGGATTCAGTTAATGGCAAATGAAAAAACAGCAATACAAGTGAGGAAATTAGAACAATTCTTGAAAAGTAGGCTTTTAAACTCGGGGTGGGCCTGCGAAGGGACCAGAAACCTGGAGGATATACTGGATGAGTCCCGGATAGTTGTGGTTAAGGTGTCTGCGCTTAAATTTCTTTATGGGTTGTGATCAATAATGAGCATTTTGGAAGGTGGTAATTATGGGAATAGTTTATGTTGTCTTGATGAGGGATCCTGGCCTTAAATTAAGCCCAGTTTTTTTAGCTTACCTAAATGAAAGAGGAAATAGTGGATTGGGAAGGAGATGAGGCAACTCATGGAAGGTTGGTCTGTAATTGAGTATTAGCCATACTCCGTAGCTCAGTGGAACCGCCCCAGTCAGAGGCAGTCCTGAAGCTGCAGTAATCAGCAATGCAGTTCTGTTGCCAGCATGCCCTGATTTATGGACTTCCCAGAGACACCTGAGAGGCTACTGTTGGGAATACAATTCTGGATTAGATGGTGCTTGGTCCCACCTAGTAGAGCTCTTAGAATGTCCTTGGAGTAGTTTCTTCCTTAGTGCCTTATCTACGAAAGTCAGAGGAATAAGCTTCTTTCATATGTCTCCTGCCTGGATTTTCTGCTCCATAGTAATGGTCCATTTAGTTTTAGCAGGGCTTTCCCAGCTGGCAATTTTTGTTTTATTTATTTAGCGCAGCAGTGAAGATGTGGGATAAATAAGGTAATGTGTTTGAGTCTTCAAAAAGAGGACTGGTGTTTAATTGACTTGCAGGACAGGTTTGCTAAATAGGGTGCTTAGGAAAGATGCTGTGCTGTGGAATCTCTTTCAGTTGCTGTCTTACTTTTTGCTTCCTTTTCTTCATCTATCACTTGAGTGACCATGATGAACTAATCTGCAGACAGATCACAGGATTCTGTCATCCATTAGTAACAAGAGGTTAATTTTTAGTTGAGGGAGATCAAGGTTCTCATTTTTCCTTTGTTGAGGCATGAAAATAGGAGTCAGGAGATGTTTATTGTTGTTTCCCTTGCCTTACACAACAAAGATCTTGGACAAATCACTTTAAGTTATAAAATACCGTAACTTCTTCAGAAGTCCATGTGAGATTGGAGTCATTGTTTGGGAACCAGCTGGCCTATTCCTTGATATTTCAGTTGAACTTGCCAAGTATGCGCTTATACACTTTAGCACTTTGGATTACTAAATTTGGAAACAGCTAATTTATTTGTTCATCACTTAGAAAACAAATCAAGTCTTACTAGGTGTGAGTTCACATTTTTATGCCACTATCTTCCTCATTGCCTCTTGTAATCACAGCTGATTCTGTTTCCATTCAGTGACCTCAATCTACTTCTGTTTTATCTTCCTGATGTAGCAACCTCACGTTTATATTGGTGTTTCACTTCTCAGAGTAAATTCTACAATACTGCTGTGATAAGTTTGACAGCATGCGATAGATTAAACGTGTTGTAATATATTTGCTTTGGGTTTATAAAGATACGAGTTCAAATGTCCACCCTGCCACTACCTAATTGGATAATTTTTAGTGAATCTCTGACCTTGGTCCAGAGAGGTAGCAAAAAGAAAGGTAACCCAGGATTGTTGTAAGGTAAAATATTACTCTGAGCTTATCAGAGGAACGATATATACTCCTCAAATAGGTAATTAGATCTCTGATAGCTTTTCCAGATATTTGATGCTTTGAGCACTATGCATGCCACCCAATATGCTAGATGCATGGAGGGTTTTTTTGCTGTTATTATATACTTTTTTTGCTCACAGTGTGATCTTGAAGAGCCTCTGCCCACTGGAACCTGTTTCTGTACATGAATTGCTATTCTTGGATTGGAGCAGATTATTCTTATTCTTGGCTCTCCATTTGTAATGTTGAAACAACAGCAATCTGTTGCTCATGTCAGGGTTGTTGTGAGGATACATGAGATTATTCTTTCCATATGACATAGATTGTAGAAATAAGTAATAAAAGGATGCTGTAGGCAGCTGTATCTCCTGGGAGCCATACCGGATTGTATCTGTAGCAGTAGAAAAGAGTAAGAGTCCAGTAGCACCTTAAAGACTAACAAAATTTGTGGTAGGGTATGAGCTTTCATGAGTCACTGCTCACTTCTTCAGATACTCTGATTGGATTGTATCTGATCACTCTGCTTAGCTAATGGTGGCGTGTTCCTCCAGCACAAGAAGCCTTCCTCCAGCAGAAGAGCCTGTTGTATTTGAAGAAGGCTGCTTGCACTGAAGGAAAGGGGTGCCAGTAGCAGAGTGGCAGTCATAGCATATAAGACCTTGAATGTTGATCCTACTAGGTTGCAAAGAACTACTGAATCTTCCAATGGCAACTGAATGGGATTTACTACTACTGAGCAAGGGTAACCTTATGTGGTTGGGAAATTTTCATTTAGTCTTTATAGCAGAAAGGTACTACTCTGCCTGCACCTTTGATCTCAGCTTTGTTTCCTCTAAATGTGGCTGCAATGCTTGAAAAAATATCTTCACTGAAATAAGGACAACCAGTTTTCTGCAAAACTTACTGGCTTCAGCTCTGTCTTCAGCTCCCCCCACCAAATGTTCTAGTATGTTGCTTGGTTTTCAAATTTGATCAAACCAGGACCCACCCATTTTAATTTAAATTTTTCCACAGTAGCCCAGGTTGTCCTTTCCACCCCCTTTCCAAGATCAGGACAGCCCCTTTTCATATTGTGCAGAAAACCATGTATACCCCAGGGAGGTCTCTGCCCTCTGTTATCCTCAAGAACAATCCTGGGAGAATGACATTAACTACAGTTAAAACCACGTTTAATAAATTTTTGTTTTGTCTATATATGGCCTAAAAGGTTAGGTCTCAGAACGTGGCATATACTCTTGGGTCACAGCTCCAGAGTCTGTGACCCCAGTTCCAATCCAGTGATTCTGAATGGGGAGCATATGGCCCCTCCAGGAAGTTATCTACAAACTTTGGGTGGGGCATTCAGAACTTTGGAGAATGTTAATGAATGTAGGCAGAATGATGGTTTCTGGTGGCAGACAGAGGACAGTTGTTTTATAGTAATCACATCATATTGAGGTAAGTATCTAAAACCCTAGATCAGGGGTGTCAAACATAAGGCCGGGGGGCCGGAATCAGCCCATCCAGGGCTCTTATGTGGCCCGCAAGCAACTAGTGTAAGGGAGGGAACAGGAGACTGCTCAGGGGGACTGGGCAGAGCCACTCTGATTCTGGCTTCAGCATGGCAGAACAACCTCGTCTGCAGCTGTCAAGCACCGTGGGAGCATCTGCCCAGTGCTGCACTGCTGGCTCTGTAGTCCGCCCATATGGGTTTTCCTCTGCATACCCCTCCCAGCCCATGGGGCCCTGCAGTGAGGATACACCAACTCAGAGCTTACCAGCTGCTGTCCTTCATACAGTTTATATCTCCAGTAGCTCTGTTTCATGGCACACATTGCCTGGCCTGACAAAGTGACATTAAAAAGTTGACTGATGGCCATTGACTTCAATGGTTTCACTGAATGTGTCCTTGAGATCTATATATATAAATACATTCCAAGCAGTAGTTGTATTAATCTTTTGCTGGAGTCTTGTGGCCCCTTATGCTGAAATAAATTCCTTCATCTTGTTCATCTTTAGGATGCCACAAGACTTAGTTGCCTTGTCTGGAGTGCTGTTTTTATGTCCTAACTTCTGTCCTCGTTGTGAGCACTCGTTGTCAGATCCTGCAGCATTCGTTTCTTCATTGAGCTGAGCTGTCTTTTTGAGCTGTCTGCTTCACCAAAGCATGGGCTTGCTGGGGTTATGAAATGCCATTCCCAAGAAGGTGCTTTTGTAAACCACCTTGAGTTGCCATGGACAGGCAGCACAAACATTTTAATATATAAATAAATGGGAGCATTCTATGATGATGCTGGTAGTTAGTATATTTATTGGCTACTTTTGTCTCCAAAGGGATCCAGAGTGGCTTACAACACTCATGGTTGCCAACTCGGGATTAGGAAATTCCTGGATAAATTGTGGGGTGGAGCCTGGTAAGGCTACAGTTTTCAGCGGGGAGTCCACCCTCTGAAGCTGCCATTTCCTCCAGTTATAATCCTGGAAGACCTCCAGGCCCTACCTGGAGGTTGGCAACCTTATAAGAGTAAACTAAAATCAAAATACAATTTTTAAAAATAGGTTTTCTGTTTACAAGCAAAAGTAACCAGTGGGCCACTTGTTCAAGATCACAAGGCATGACATACAAGCTGTGACCTTTGGGGGTTTTCTTGCCCTTCAGCTCATGCTCCCTTGTGCTTCTAGCCACAAACAAAATTGATAACTGAGAAAGTCGGGAAAGGCAAAGAAAAGCACAGCTGAGATTTTGTAGCTGGCAAGAGTGTTCCTTCCCAATCTGCTCTCCCTGCTCATAAAGCCTCAGTACTTAGGTGGAGTATAATGGATTTAAGGTTAAGAACCACTTCTTAATTGGATGGGACTTTGCACTAGAGATAGCAAGCAACTTGTAGCCAGAAGTCAGCTGAATAGGGGTGGGAATGGACCAGGGTGGGGGGAATCTCTGAGCTGGTCATAGAAATGAGGGGTGAGGAATGGTGT